TAGATCACACGAATGCCTCCCGTCAAGTTGTTCAATAAAATACAATATAAACAACTTATAAATACATAGCTTATTTTTAGTCAGTGCACTGGCCCAAGCAGTGCTCCTTCGTCGCCCGAATGCTAAAGCTATTCGAGAAGGATTTCGTTCGGGCAAGTGCGCGTCGATCGTGCCTTCAAAGCGTTTTTGCCGTTGACTGACTGCGCTATTGTCCTTGACAATTAGCGTCGGTTTCCAATTCTCTAACACCTCGGAGCGCGATTGAACGCAATTGTACCATTACGGCATCTCGCAACGAGTTAACGTGACACAATGGCGCCACCCGGACCTGCGTGTGCGTCTACGCTGTCGACGGGCAATAAACGGTATCCCGCTCTAATTACTTCTGGGAATTCATAACCTAATTCGATGATTGACCTTGACGACGTCGCGAGTACACGAGGATTCTTCCCGCTCTCCATAACGAAATGTTGACGCACTGTGTCACGCCAAAGTCCAAGAGTGGCCCAATGAAATTCCAAAGATCGTTTACCTAGGAAGTTCTTGCTTTGTCGAGTCAAACTCCAGGGAAATAAGAGCCACGTAACTTACGTGACTTTAAATCACGATATCACCTGTTACGTGTTTGCAGTTTTCGTAACTCTGCGTGCGGTCACCGCCAATTTCAGCGATCCGACGCAGTCACGAGCATCGATTCCAAATACTCGTGCGGATTCAATTGCCTGCCATATCCGTAGAGAATTACCGTTAAAACATAATGCTTTTGTGTGTATTTTGCATACATTACCACAGAGTATGCACCGGAAGGTTTGAAAGATGCCTGGGCACATGTACCACTTTCTTGCAATGTATTCCCCATCCACAATAGGCGAGCTCAGTTTCATCATATGCAGTCAAGCACATATCTCCAGTTTCTTGTCGATTGTTGGCACTTCTGTGTATAGTTTTTCTTTTTTTTTTCTTTTTTTTATTTAAAGCAATGAAACCACTTTTCGCAAAATATACTTTTAGTTAATTTGGGGCCACCTTAACGATGGTCGTTTGATGAAACGTACTTGACCCTTCATTTTTGCGTTCTAAAAATCCTCACAGAAAACGTAGTACATTTACTAGAGGACAATGATGTAAAACGTCGTTATCTGGGTGTTACAAGTGTAAATTATTTTGACATCCGCGTTTGAAAGATTATTTGAAAGCAGTGATGAGCAAATGCAAGATTTTGCTTATCACTGTTTGAAAGATTTATTTATATAATGTGAAAATAACGAGTGGGATTCAAGGAATTAAGGTTATCCTCGAGTTACTTTGAAATTAGGATTTTAACCTAAAACAGTAAATAAATATGAGAATGTTAATAAAATCACTACTGACTATTGTTGTCGGGCATACGCATTGACCTTTAAATAATTTTTCTAGTGACCTAAAAAGAAGTGGATCCGATATTCACGGTGGAGCTCTAAAAATAACTCGATCGAATAACGGAAGTGAGAAAATCCAGGAAGCCTGAGAAATTACACAGACTGGTAATAAAAGCGCCATGTTCCGTGTTAATTATAAAACTTGCACAAGAGAAAAAAAATAGCAGACCATTCAGCTCGAAGAATAGGAGCATTTAGAAAAAATGTTGTTAGAATAGTTCTGAATCCGTTATTAAGTACCTAATACGAGCAAAGTTATGATTATCTTACATAAGAAATATATGCATACAAGCAAAATAATAAAAATGTGATTAACGCTTCGACATACGACGTTATTTGCTCAAAGGTTTCATTCACCGAAGGTTTGCAATTAATGACAGGCTTTTTTAACGTTTCGTACAATTTCAATTCAAATAAAAATATTACATTTTATCATACCTAAATATATTATACATCCCAGTGTTTACAAAGTTAAAAGAAATCCAAAAGAAGAAAACATTCTGAGCAGAAGTAAAATTGATTAAAAATGAATTGTAATCCTCGTGTAAATAATTAACAAGCAATTTCCTTAAAATTCCAAGTCGTAGTAAAATGAATGCTAGTTTAAATAGGTACCTTTAAAGGCGATAATTAAAAATTCCCTACTGCTCACTCACTTAACAATAAGGAAGCAGTTACAACCGCTAATAAATATGTACTATGATTAAGTACTGCTTGCATATCATTAGCTATATTACTGGCTAATCAATATTTTGTATGAATTGTTTTTTCTAATATAGACATCTTACAAGGTCACTTCTTTTTATGACACCATATTTGATGGTGTAGCAAAGTTTAATTTTATAACCCTTGTATATTCATTCACTCAAGACTTGCAAAGTATGAAGAAGCTAATAAATTTTACAATTTATGCATTCTTCCTAGTAAGTACCATACTTTCATGTGTCTTGTGTTGATAGACACAGTAGAGCCACGACCACATCGTAACTCAACATTCTAGAAATATTCCGACAAAATGGAAGAAATGAGGAACTCAGAATGTAAGAAACGGGAAAATTTATTCATATTAAATGAACAACTCAAACTAGTACATGACAAGTCTGAATACCACACAAGAAATTGTCCAAACTTTAGTATGAACGTATCTAAAACTTCGATTCTTCGATATTACATGACATTATTATTTCCTTTCGTAAGAGAAAAATATTGTTAAACATTACCACTACGAAGGCGAAATAGGCGCTAGTCCCTAAAGGGACTTCTGTTTATCGTCTACAAATTTCAAAAACAAAAAGTTATTCAAAATACTATTTAAATTGAAGAGCGAATAAATAGCGAAGCGTAAAAAGGATCATACGTGTTCAAATGCTATGAACAAATTATTTAAAAAAAAAAAGACTCAAAGTTGGGAAACGAACAAAAAAGGCATATTTTAAATCTCGAAATAAAAGTTTTACCAAAATAGGAGTGAATTCAAATGGTTTTGACACCTTGCAAACCGTGTAATTTGTTGTTTTAATTCAGCTACGTAGTAATTCAAATAAAAAAAAATGTACGGTATACAGAGATTTTACAAGTGTAGTCTTCTTTACATATAATTTAAATTAATGTAAATGTCATCTAGTAAGTTTGAAAATTGACATTTAAAAACCGTTAAAAACGGAGGTTGGTTTTTTTGTTTCATGGGGACCTCTCAAAATCCTTAGTAAAACAACGGAAACGAGGATAATAAAATGCGGAAAGAAACGAAACATCGCTATTTGGAAAGCGCTACTTAAAACTTAATTTCGAAAACTCATTTCGATGATAAGGAAAATGACCCTGTTGATATAGTAATAGACGTCAATTGGCCTTCGGGCTCACTAGGGGAGTACACTTACAATTAGAACGCAAAGATTCACGCAGGCCAACTACATTATCCGTGCTTTTTTCATTACATCTCTTTCCTGTATAGGAAAGAATCCCAACTAAAGTTCCTTGTTATCTACATATTCTTATAAGCGAAACTCTGTTATGTATTACGCATACAAAAAGTGTTCATTCGTTATTCAAGTATTTCGTTGATTTTCAAACTAGAGGCATCAACATTAAATACAGAATAAAAGTCATAGTCGTAGAATCAACGGAAACTTGTCAACTTCCGTTTAAGATAAAAATAATACATAAGCAAGACCTTTGGAAAAATACAATAGCCTGTGATTTTCACCGTACCTTTCTTTCAATTCCTTAAATCAACTGAAGTTCACTTGCCCTATACATATTCGCATTTTGAAACGTGTAACATTCATTACTCGTCATCGCAGGTTTAAGGTGATGTGAAAGTGGCGTCAAAGAGGTCTCGCTTATGCAGTTTTTCTCTGGGTGTACCGAATTGTTTTAAACTTTACAATGTGAAGGTGAAGGCTGTAAGGACGGTCCTAACACCCATTCTTATTTATATAAACTTGTTTATAGACATTTTAAAGATCTTGCTGAAAAATGAAATTTCATGGGTGTTAGGACCTTCCTAATAGCCTCCATATTCACGTTGTAATGTTTGAAACGATTCGGTATGTCCAGTTCGGAGACAAGTTTCATGAACAACTGATCCCTCAGATGCTACAATCACATCCCCTTAAGGTGATATGAAAGGGTCATTCTATATATCAAAACGTCAAAATATGTATAAAACTTTTCTCCAAACTGCGTGCACCAAGTCATTTAAAACTTCAGCATGTGATTATGAAGACCCTAAGGGTGATGCTAATGTGATTTATGTGATGCCTATGAAATTTCATTTTTCAACAACATTTTTTTTCATTTAGCGCGGACTAGACCAAGATCACATTTTTTTTAATGAAATCTTACAAGCATCGCGTTTTTCCTTAGGGCCTCCATAATCACGTGCTGAAGTTTCAAATGATGCACCCAGTTTGGAGAAAAGTTTTATAAATATTTTGATGTTTTATATATATAGAATGATCCTTTCATATCACCTTAAGGAGAAGAATGAAAATGTTTGTAAAACTTTTCTCCAAACTGGGTGCACTGAATTTATTTGAAACTTTAATACGTGATTATGGAGGCCCTACGGAAGTACGCGATGCTCGTGAAATTTAATTTTTGGAAAAAAATGTTCTTTTTTTGGTTCTTGTCTGAGATAAATACAAAATTTTTCTCAAAGAATGAAATTTCACGAGCATCGCGTTCTTCCTTGGGGTCTCCATAATCACGTACTGAAGTTTCAAATGATTCGGTGCATCCAGTTTGGAGAAAAGTTTTATAAACGTTTTGACTTTTTGGTATATATATATATATATGACACTTACATATCACCTTAATGATGGCGCTATGTTGGGACGTCGTTTATGAACTCCTGGATACAATGCCGAAAACAAATCGGACAATTCGAATATCGTTTTCGAATTAAACGAGTGGATACTCGAATTGAAAGTTCCGTCTGCGTCGACGACGTCTTTTGAAGCAATGACAAGATTTGACCAATCGCGAGGAAGAGCCGTTAAAAGGCGGGAACGCGTACAATCGTGGACCGCATGAGCTGCGCGTCGGTGAGATCGATAGTACGAATGGGCGAAGGTCACCTTGAGGGTGCCACTTCTCGGGTTCTTACGCGACGTTCGGTTAGTCCGTGCGTTTTACGCGGGCCGTGTCACGTGTTCGCACGAGGCGACTTTATCGCAGTCATATATACAGTGATATGCCACACGTGGTTACTCCGGTCGACGTCCATGCCAAATACATAAAGCATTTAAATTCGTCGATACATGGAGTTTTAACAGGCACTAGGGATGTCCGATTCTCTTAGAAGAATCGATTCTGAATAGGATCATGAAAAATCGATTCTCTTAAAAATCGGAATCCAAAGAACCGATTCTGCAAGAATAGATTCAAAAAATCGGAAATTTTTATATATAATTAACACAAATTTAATTAATACATTTTTACGTGTCAAAAGCCATCCATGAAAATGAAATGAATGTTGTATAAAAAGACTAAACAATTATTAGCCGTTTATATAGCAATTATACATCTTCTCTAGCTTTCCCTTTGGCCGATATTTCCGGTCGAGATGGTCGACGGAGTAAATGAGAGGTTCTGATTGGCTGTTGAAAGTCAGGTAGTCAGTTACCACGGAAGTACGTCACGACGCTGAGTTTTAGTAGCCAATCTTGTGGCGACAAACAGCAACCAATGAGCGAAGTGAATTTCTCCCCTCTACCGTTTCAGTCAAAACGAATCGGCTTCTCGATTCGGAGGGTAAAGAATCGATTCTCAAGAAAATCGAATAGTAAAGAATCGATTCTAAAAATCGATTTTTTCACCAAAAGAATCCAATCGGAATCGAACATCCCTAACAGGCACCTACTGGTTTCCACGTCTATTAAACTCGATACGCACCCGCCGCACGTTTCTACAATTTTAGGGAAAATAAACGAAGACAATGAATTGCGAGATAATGTAAATGTATTATCTATGGAATTTTTCTCAGAATTCGATCGTGTTGCGCGTAGGCCTCCGAAGGTTTCGTAAAAATGGTCGAATTTATTGCTTACGACTTAGAGGGGAAACGAGCTCCGGTCACGAGGAATTCTTTGGCTCGTAGCCATCGGTTATTCCGGTCACCCCAACGACTTGATATAATAACGCGTATTGCTGTGTGGCATCTCGTCGGCAGAAAAGGTTTCGTTGCGGAACGGACAGCAAAAAGATTGCAGCCGAAAAACTTCGTCAATGCGCGTTCTCTGCTCGATCAGTCGTGGAGATATGAGCATCAATAAGAAACTCGCGATTAGTTGATAATTAGTCATATCGCAGCTCTAAAGTCATTCGATGAGGCCAATGTAAGTAGACTCCACGGTGGAACCGCATCGTACGAATCGAACTTCTGTGCTCTTGTATCCAATTCAAGAAGTCCCACTTGAAACTCGTTGCGTTACCAGTAATTTACTCGTAATGTTAAGATGTACAAGAGTTTGGAAGCGAAACGAAGCTGGTTTGCTTTAGATCAGTTTCTTGCGCGTACCGTGAGTCTTGGGACCCAAATGCATGTTTTCCTTGCATCGGTTTCCAATTTGTTGCTTGACGTCTGAACAGAAAATTCAACGACGGTCTGGAATGTACGTTTTTTCCTCAAGCAACATTTCTGAAAGGGATTTCTATTAAATAGACGTAAAACTTCGATGCACCGTTCAGACCCTTTAAAGTCCCAGGACGTCCGAGGGTAACGATGAGATACTTCCTTCCTAAGGTCCATAGGCACCAACGCTCAGTCGCAATCAACCAATCCAAACGAGACCATTCACCCTCGTCTCGCGCGTCCGCGAGTATGACTTAATTTAAATCATTCATTACAATGCGGCTCGCACGTGTACGCTCGCCTGACACCGAGTAACTAGGGGGACGTTAAGCCCACCTCCGATCGATCGATTCTCGTAAAACCTATCGCAACGATCTTACAGAAAATATCTCTTTCTAAAATAATAAGCGAAACAATAGGTTAAAATGACTTGACGTGGAAAAGAAAAAGATGTACCAAGTGGAACGATTTAAGATTTGTAAAAACGAGACGATACGTCCCTCGACCTCGAGATGACCGAACGTCTGCGATGAGATAACTTAGGTTGCGATCGGTTTCAGGAGTCGCGGGACAGGATCCGCAAGCGGGCAGCATCGGGCAGCAGCAAACTCAGCAGCAGCGAGGGAACGGCGGCGGGCCCTGGATCGTCGGAGCAGGAGAAGCGGCGACGGACCCAGGAGTCGGGAGGAACGGCTGGGAGAGCCGACCGAAGCTGCGAGCCCAGGGGCAGCGGCAAATGGGGCTCGGTGTGGGGGATGACGAAGACGGGGGTGGAGGGGGCGGAGGGTTGGAGGGGACGGACCCAGAGGAGGACAACCCTGTTCACCTCAAGAGACGGGTGGGACTCGTCAGTGGGGTGGCTCTAATTGTCGGCACGATGATTGGATCGGGAATCTTCGTCTCGCCGTCAGGCCTCCTGGTGCGGACCGGCAGCGTCGGGGTCAGCTTCCTGGTGTGGACGGCCTGTGGCCTGCTGAGCCTCTGCGGAGCTCTGGCCTACGCGGAACTCGGCACGATGAACACGAGCAGTGGAGCGGAATACGCCTACTTCATGGACGCGTTCGGCGCGCCACCGGCGTTCCTCTTCTCCTGGGTCTCCACCCTGGTGCTGAAGCCCTCGCAGATGGCGATAATATGCCTCTCGTTCGCCCAGTACGCCGTCGAGGCGTTCGCGGCCGAATGCGATCCGCCCCAGGAGGTGGTCAAGCTGGCGGCCCTCCTGGCGATCGTATCGATACTCCTGGTCAATTGTTACAGCGTCAACCTGGCCACCGGGGTGCAAAACGCTTTCACCGCGGCCAAACTGATCGCCATATTGGTCGTCGTTGCCGGCGGCTCCTACAAACTTGCCCAAGGGAACACTCAGCACCTCCAGGGCGCGTTCCAAGTTATCGACGGCGAAAGCTTCAACGTCGGCAGACTGGCCACCGCGTTTTATACCGGCCTTTGGGCCTACGACGGATGGAATAATCTTAATTACGTGACCGAGGAGATTAAGGATCCTTCCCGAAACTTGCCAAGGTCTATCATGATTGGCATTCCCCTCGTCACGCTCTGTTACGCCTTGATTAATGTTTCTTATTTGGCAGTCATGTCGCCGACGGAAATGATCGAAAGCGAGGCCGTTGCCGTGGTAAGAAACCCGTAATCGTTCCTTTAGTATTTGTCGTAAGAGTCGAAACGTTTTCCCGATCGCGTAAACTGTTACACGTGGATTCTTGTTGACTTTTAGACGTTCGGAAATCGGATCCTTGGCGTGATGGCGTGGCTTATGCCGCTCTCGGTGGCGGTGAGCACTTTCGGTTCCGCCAATGGAACCCTATTCGCCGCAGGTCGGTTGTGCTTCGCCGCCTCTCGGGAAGGACATCTGCTCGATTGTTTGAGCTATGTCCACGTACGCCGTTTCACTCCAGCTCCGGGACTTATATTTCATTCTCTGGTAGCAGGTACGGATCGCGATGAATACCGTGATCTTTGCCGACGACGGATCCTCTTACATTGATTACTGCTTATGAATCCTCTAGGTGCCATGGTCTTGTCCGGCAACATAGACTCCCTCATCGACTTCTTCTCCTTTACCGCGTGGATATTTTACGGCGGAGCGATGCTCGCCTTGCTAGTCATGAGGAGGACAAGGCCTAATCATCCTCGGCCTTATAAATGCCCGCTTCTGATACCCGTATTTGTACTTGGCATTTCTGCATACTTAATTGTGGCTCCGATCGTGGACAATCCACAATTTGAATACCTGTACGCTGCTGGATTCATAGCTGCGGGAATGCTATTCTACCTCCCATTTGTAAAATACCGATACGTTCCCAAATTCATGGGTAAGCTTCAAAATCAAATAAGGAGGCGAAAAGTTAGAGGACAAGGATAATAAATAAAATGCTTCTTACGTTTCAGAGGGAGTGAATGCCTTTCTCCAAATGCTGTTAGATGTGGCACCAACTGCAGCAGCCTTTGATTAATGTATCGGTTTATTGGCTGTAGTATATCAGGTGCCGAATCATTCCATTGAAGCATTGGGAATCTTATATCTTTACTTATTTTGTATACACCCTGACCTGAACGAGACACGGTATAGTATCGATGCTCAAGGCTGGCCCATGTGGATCCAGAAATAAATAAAAATATTATTTTATTACTTGTTATTCTTTGTACAGTATATAACATGGAGTACATAGAATGTTACCGTTAGCAATAGATTGACATTGTAACGAGTAAAATAATAAAAGTCATTAATGAGTATATCGATTCTTAATTTTTACTGTTATTTGCTTTCCCTTTTTTATTAGTGTTGTTTCTTTTACTTGGAGTTGCACTGTTTTTTTGCACTTTTCCATAAAGTCCTAAAATACCACCTTCTTTCCTACTTCTTTGCCTAGATTTTGGTTTGACTAAGCTATTTTTTAAACCAGAAACTGCTTGCGCCTTTTGTGCTTTCAATTTTGCTTTATATCTTTCAGCCTTTAAAATTTTATAATTTGTTTGCCTATTTTTAGGTGGTTTGGCCCCTAAACTTACTGCAAGAGCGATCTTTGCCTCCTGTGCCTTTGCCTTCGCAAAACCAGACATGCCAAACTTAATAACATCATATCTGGCTCTTTTCATTTCCAAATCTTGCTTTTTCTTAAGATCGATACTAGACTCTTTGTCGACTTTTAAATAACGATCACATTCTTTTGTCTTTGAATTCTCATTAATTGAACAATTCTGAGATTTTGTTGGTCGACTTTCAAAAGTTATTCTCATAAAATCTGAAGATGCTGCCTTCTTTACACTTGCACCTCGGGTTTCTATAAAATCTTCCATTTTCTGTAAAGTGTCAAGTAAATTTAGTATTATTATTAAAATTAATTATTTGATTAATTTTCAGATATTGAGGTTAAATACAGTAAAAATCGTATGTGTCGCTACAATTGACTTTTTAACATTTTCAAAAATATTGATACCGTAGGTACTGCAACTTCACATCTAATCTTCTAATTAAAAGGAAAATATTTGAAATGTATCTCAAACAAAATACAACAGCTTTTCTCTCATATTTTTTAATTATTTGACAGGACACTTTTGCTTGCGTTTCGCACTTAACGTGGTGCACAGTGAATCACAGTGAATGGCAGACTGTATTCATGTCCCATGGTTCACAACTATCCAAGTCGATGCCACCTAGCGGTCAAATACGGAAATTGTTCCACATTTATCATGGACACGCTCCTTGTTAGGCCGGTGTTTTATTAACGCTATAGCGACAAGCGTCGGACCGACGAAGCGCGAATAAGAGGTTTTGATTGGCTGTAGAGAAAGTACAATGGAAGTTCCATATACCATAGACGTAAGAATATATGGACGAAGCCAGGGTTCGGTAATTTCACGTTTTCTCGAGGTTTTTAACGTATATTATGTATACCATGTAGTTTACCGTAGAAAATCGTAGAAAAACAGTAAATTACGTTTCCAATATGAAGGATGCCATAGATATATGTACGGCATCTTCTAGGTTATAAACGTCTTTTAGCGCACATGTAAACACGTAAACATTTTTAAGGAATAATTTACTAAGTCTCCACTGTCGGTATTTATTTAATATCGTACTGGATAAATCCGAATTCGGGTACGTCTCTACCGCCTGATTTTATTTAACATCAAACTAACTAGGTGGTGGAGACGCACTCAATATCGGATTGATCTAATCCAGCTTTGAGTGCGTCTCCACCAGTCAGTATTGAATAAATACTGACGGTGGAGACTTAGTAAGAAATTTGACGCATGTGTATAACATTTTTTCGACTTAACACTGTTAAATATCAATTTTCTAACTGGATTTATTATTTTTTATTTAGAAATAGAAGTGCGTAATATAATTCGTGCTCACGTTGAAAACTAGGGACGTATTATATGCTGAAATATACTCGTAGAAAACCACGTATATATATTACAAAAGGTATTATACTTACTCACCTCTGCCTCTACGGATGCGACTTTCGCGAGATTAATTGACTACGTCTCCATCGTACTCGAAATCTGGGATTATCGGGTATGAGACAAGTGTACATACGAGACCAGTGTACATACTGTTATTATTTTTGACTTTTAGTAACTTATTTTCTGTCTAATCTCAGACTTCCTGGATTTTTTTCCTGTCGTTTTGTGTCCTTTTTCAGGTTTAGGTGGACCACTTAACGGGATCCAATTTTTTTTTAAGTCATCGTGGGTACTTTATTGCTACAGAGCTTGGTGGACTAGTAACAGATGTTAAAAGATGTTAAAGGATGTTTGTCACCGCAGAGATGAAGAGGATCCCTCAGTTTGGCCGCCACTGAGGGATATCAGGTGGCAAGTACGCGAGCCACCCGCATTCTCTATCATTCTCTATTGAGGATAGAACGCGATCGCACGACTCAGCCCATGAGCAATCTCCTTACCAGGGTCGGTAATTTCGTGTTTTTTTCGAGGTTTTTGACGTATATTACGTGAACCGCGTAGTTTAGCGTAGAAAATCGTAGAAAAGTACGTAAATAGTAGTAAATTATGTTTTCAATATTAAGGATGCCGCAGATGTGCGATATACGGTATCCGCTAGGCTATAAACGTCTTTTAGCACATATGTAAACACGTAAATATTTTCATGGAATAATAAATTGATTTGGCGCTTGCGTTTAAAATTGTTTAGAATTTTAAATTTTCAATATGGCAGATGCCGCAGGCGTACGATATGTATCCGCTAAATTATAACAAAGAATTCAGAAGTCTCCATAGAAGCTATAAAGAATTCGAACATTTATGCTCGACAAATAGTATGTTAGCCATTGGATGGGAGCGCTGTAATCATTTCTCCGTCTCTCTGAATCTTACGGTGATATACAGCGCATTGCATTCTTTTTTTGTCTTACACACAGTACTCGTCTTTCTATATGCATCTCTCTTTCTCCTGTACGTAAGATACCATTAGTTTACACATGTGATTTCTTTTTTACCCCCACTCCTGGTTTGTTAGTCAACTATTAGAGCATCAAGCGCTGACATAGGATTTGGGCTTCTATGGAACTTCGGAATTCTTTGGTTATAAACGTCTTTTAACACATGTGTGAACACGTAACAATTTTGAAGGAATAATTAATTTAGCGCGTGTGTTCAAAATTCTTTCTACTTAATCCAGTTTAATATCAAATTTCTAATTGGATTTATCGTTGTCTATTTAGTAATACAAGGGTATAATATACTTCGCGCTTACGTTGAAAATTAGAAACGTATTATACGTTGTAATATCCGCGTACAAAATCACGTGTATTCCATGACGTATTATACTTACCCAACCCTGGACGAAGCCCAAAATCCCATCTTTGACCAAGAGGGGAAGCCGGCGCGTCGGAAAGGGGAGCTGTATCGTTGTTAAATGTTTCAGCAACTTGATTAATAGGTCATATGCTTCATATTTCCTGTTTACTCTGATTTCTTTTTGCCACTCCCGTACGTAAAACAATTTTTAACCATCTTTATGCTACAAGTGGCATATCGTCCTTCATTCGTTGTTTATCTGCTCACAGCCCGCACCAGCCCGCACCGTTTTTTACTCGCTACTCTGAAAGTGACAACTAAATCGCAACCAATCAGAGGAAGATAAGATTTTGGCACAACAATATGGCTACCTTCCCATTGTTCCTACGTGTTCCTTCCTTATTTACTCCGACACTGTCCCCTCTGGCTTGGGCTCGGTCCATATATTCTTAGTTCTTAGATCCATGTTTTCAATTATATTATGTTCTGTGAGTGCTGTCATTTGAGGTAGTATGTATGTACATATGTATGTACATATGTATGCACATATGTATGCACAGAAGTGTGATCCAATATTGACGCGACTGTCTTTTTTCATTGTTGGTTGAAACAGAGATGAGCAGGGTTGAAATAATTTTGTAGATCTTATTTTCGTATAGTTTACAAACTGTAAGATAATAATTTTAAATATACAGAATGATTAAAGCAGTCTTAGTATTTTTGATAATTGCAAAAGTGTTTATATCTGGTGAAGAATATGATGATATACAATGCAAGAATGAGGATAATCAACCAGTAGATTGGTACTTTCGCTTGTTTGAAGATATTTCATTTTTAAGTTGATATTTAGTTTGTAATACTTTTTTTATAATTTCAGGTATGTTTTATACAAAATACCAAAAATATCACATAGCACCAATCCTTTAATTAAGGAAGGACATGCTTACTTGTATATGACAAGTGAATCAGTTAATAAAGGTTGGCAGTTGTCTGCAAATAATATAAGTACAAAGGATTCTATACCGGGATACACTCTAGCACCGTTGTATAAAGGAGTACGTATCCAGAGAATACTTCTTAGGACAGACCATGAAATGAAGCTATTTTATGGCATTTATGTTATGTATTATGTCTGTTAATATATTTTATAATTCCAGATGGATAATTCCATTCTATGGATGTTATACAGCGATCAACCACCAAATAGGACACCTAGTGCAAAATATGGACATGCCAAAGGTGCTATAATAGTTTCTAAGGAAAAAGGTTTTTGGTTGGTTCATAGTGTACCTCATTTCCCACCTGCTTCAAAAACGAGTGAAAATCAGACACAATCTAAAAATGTGCAATTGAATTCGCATAATATTCCTGATAGTCAGTATGGTTATCCTGCTTCTGGAAGGAATTATGGACAAAGTTTTCTTTGTATCTCTGTTGAGAAAGATCAAATTAATAACATTGGTCAACAGCTTATATATAATCAAGTTGTTATTTATGACAAAAATTTCCCATTACCGTATAAACAAAGTTATCCTTCTCTAAATGAGTTAGTAAATCGTGTTTGGATTAAAGATCCACCATATAATCACAAGAGTTTAATTCAGTCACTGGGAGCATTTGGCTTTTTAACATTTGCTAAAAGTGATAAGTGGCAAAAAGGTATTTATAAGAGTAAAGAAGAAAACAGTGCCTTTTAGAAATTTATTTCTACTTGGACAATAATTTCTAGATTTATATGATGACTTTGTGGCACCTGCATTAAAATCAGATATGTTGGTTCAGTCATGGTTGAATGGCCGAGGTAAATTGCCTTCTGAATGTAATGGTACCAAGTAAGAAGTTATATTATTAGTATATTTATATAAATTTGCATTGAAATATTTAGTTATAAAATTATAAATAATTTTAGGGTGATGAACATTCAATCTTTGGTCTTGGAAAAAGCTAATGTTAACTTTAAAAGTACACATGATCACTCGAAGTGGGCCATTGTTGTCAATAACAATAAGAATAATAGTTGGACTTGCATTGGTGATATTAATAGAGCGGTAAGTGTACTTATCTTTTATTATATTAGTAAGACTTGTTTCACAGGTATCTGACATGAGATGCTGGATATTAGATTCCTATGTAAATTTCAACCTGGATTCACAAGTGTTGTACAGAACCGTTCGACATTGGATATCCGATTGATATCAGAGCATTCACACGTCTTCGACTTTTACCCAATTTCATTATTGGATATGGCACAATGTTCAGATCATACAAATGATTTCTTCACTGCTGCTGGATGACTGATGCATGGATCTTGTAAAAATTCTTATTTGAGTTCTTACACTTGATACGTATATATATATAAACTATTAGGTTGTCCCATAAGTTCCTTCCGCATCGTGTATTCATGTCCTATGAAAAAAAGGGAAGAAACTTATGGGACAACCTAATATATTCATACTAGACATGCACAGTCGTATGTTCTAATATTTTAGAAATCGCGACAAGAGAAAGAAAGAGAGTCTTGGAGGGTATTTGTATCCCTTTTTTTTCTTTCAATACATACCTATACAGTTAACATCTGAACATCAGTAATATGTTTTGAAGGCTGTGTGCGAAAAAAAAACAATATCCTCTGTGACCCTGTTCCGTCGAGGGGTTAGTGGCTTTTCCGCGTTCCTATATAAATATAGTTATGTGCGTATATCCGACATCGGACGGTCTCGAGATCTTTTTGGCAATCCATCGGTATGTATTCGACGTCGTCTGCTATGGTGTTCCATATACTTTGTGATCGGATATGCAATCTCTGACGATTTTGTCCGGCACGTGTAAAACGTAGCTAACTGATGTTAATATATACCATTTTATTAGGACACGCAGTATAATAGAGGAGGAGGAGCAGTTTGTTTCAATTTACCTGATGCATGGGAAAATTATCGCAAAATTGTACAAGATATAGAACCTTGCCCTAAAAAACGAGGCTTCATAAGTTCTACTATATCATGGGTAAAATCCAAATTTACGTGATACACTTTGTACAGACAGTTAGATTGCCGATCAGTGCATACATACTTTTTTGGCGAGAGCGCGACAGCAATGGAATCAAAGGGTGCCAAACGCTTTGACTTTCGTTTTGAGTATAGATGTGCGCGCGAATTGGAATACTTGCTCAAATCTATTCATCCATTCATCCTAATTCCTGATTGTTTGCCATGTTGAGCAATTATATTATTTGTAAGTTACGCATTTCTTTGACTGAAATTACATTTTTTAAACTAGTGACAATAATACATTCATATCCATTCAAAAGCAATATAGCTTTATTGTTAAGAGACTAATATTAATATAATTATTATTTTATGATGCGATCTTTATTATCATATTTATCAGCTGTTAATAATATTGAAAGATTAAAAAGTATTGACAATTATGTTGTTGAAATCAAATCATTGTTTTGATTATTATTAAATAAGGAAAAATGAATAAACAAGGAAAGTAATAGATTTTGGAATGGGCAACTTGGTGTCTATTTTATTTAAACAATCTGATACCAACTATGGTACATGGTGTATTGTAATGCTGTGATTAATCAGGACTTTTGAAGATCTATCCAATACCAATTTATTTTTTATTTGTTCCAAAATATGTACATTGTTACGTTTATAGAATATATAGGAAAGGATGAGGACATGAGAAAAAGAAAAAGGATGGCCCCAGGCAAAGCATTGTGAAAATTCAGAAATATTAATTAATTTATAATTGATTAAAAATTAAGGGTAAGTTATAGCGATTCAAATTGCCATAGACTAGGTTTGCATTTAAACTAATGGCCTGTCCACATGTTATGGATTTTTGTCTGCGCAGTCCTGCTGCTTGAGTTCCAAGTCCTCATAAGAGTTGGGTAAGTATAATACGTCATGTAATATACGTGATTTTCTATGTGTGTATTACAACGTACAATACCCTAACAAGTCCCTAACTTTCTAAGTGAGCGCAAAGTACATTACGCCCTTCTCTTTTTGAATAGAAAATAATAAATCCAACTAGGAATTTAATATTAAACAGGGTTAATTCGAAAGCATGTTGAATACAAATAGGAAACGAATTATTTCTTAATAATTTTTGTGTTTATATGTGCGCTAAAAGACGTCCATAACCTAGCAGATACATATATCGTCCATCTACGGCATTGTTCATATCGGAAACGTAATTTACTAGTTTTCTGCGATTTTCTATGGTAAACTACTTTGTTTACGGAATATACGTTAAAAATCTCGAAAAATGGGGAATTACTTAACCCAGGGCGTTTATTATTGTATGCTTCACCATTTCGTTTAAAAATTTGTGCCGAGCCAGTTCACATGAATGGTCTCGCATTTTCACCACCAAAAACGTTCTGTATTACCGTCAGTTACTCATTTTTCACATTTTCGCTCAATTTGCTTTACGTAATAGACCCCCTGACGGTGCTTGTTTTCCTGCAGGAGGTGAAGAAATCGGGCATAAAAGAGATTAAGAGATGATTATAGCGTCGCCGTCCGTTGGTGAACGTACTATTTATAGAGTATCAATCGTAATAGACCCTCTAGATAGGAATAGGCTCCCCTGGTCCTCATCATGCAATATTACCAGGGTATATATTACCTACCTACGCTATATACGCACCAAAATCACTAGGTGGCATTTTCATCGCGAATGCGCGAACCGCCCGCATTTTCCATTGATGGCAGCACAGGACCGTAATCACGCGATCCTGCTCAAGAGCAATCTCTCAATTAATCTCTGGGGGTCTATTATGTAAAGCAAATTGAACGAAAATGTGAAACATGAGTACTCACGGTATTATGAACGTTTTTGGTAGTGAAAATGCGAAACATTCATATGAACTGGCTCGACACAAATTTGTAGGCGAAATTGTGAAGCATACAAGAAAAGATAAAAAAATGAGCGCCGTGAATGCCATCTTCCACGGATTGTGATACCGAAATTCAAAACGGAAAATCTCCTGGGTGTTTTGATTTTTGGCAACAATCGTATTCGGAGACGTATTAATAACCTTATTAGAAGAAGAAGGGAATTACGTGATGCCTTAGACCCATTTTCGTTAGAAGAAAGAGAATTTACTAGGATGTACAGGTTAGCTTTTGTTATTGTAAGGTTATGTTACATTATTAAACATTGAAAACTGTTAAATAATTCATGCTTACATGACATGATAAGAAAATTATATCGTTGAACTTCTAATTACAGTACATGTAAATATGAATGTAATACGTATTTAAAAAATGTAGATAGACTCGAGTCCCCTCTACTTTACTTATAACGTCTTTTCATCTTCCCGCCTTTCCTGCCTCTCAAGAATATTCGATTTACAAGGTATGTACCTTTATTTGTATTACTAGATCGGAAGTGCTAGTGATCTTGTTCTTTCATACAGCGAATACGTAATTCGACAAAGAAACTCATGTGAGATGAAAGTGCGAGAAGTGAGCGCTCTCGTCAAAAAACGTCATAAACGCCCTGGCTCTAAGTAGTTTTCCTGCACTGCCTTGCTTCTATTGGTTCTTTTTGATATCTAGAATCAATTGAGTTATGGTGTTGCTGTTAACCATGAACAGTATGAATATACAAAGGTAAGAAATTCTTGTGATGCCACGTGCGAATCTATTGATGTAGAGGATGTAGATTGAAATGAATTTTGTAAAGTAAAATGTTATATACCATTGCTAGCGAATTTGAAACAAGTTTAAGGTGTGCTATGCATTTTGATAAAGGAGGGTTCATTTAATTTATTTCTGTTTGTGACTCTTTCAGATTAATGAAGTGTTTGTATCATCAGATAGTGCTGAATGTACATACATTAAAATAGGTTATCTTAAGCTCTCGGCCTAACGTTCCATTGATGTCGGCATTTTATAAATAATGGCGCCGCACGATGCGTCTTATCAAAAATTTGGCAACATTTGCCGGCTTTGTTTAAAGCAGGAAACTGTAATGTCTTCGCTTTTTGAGGGAAAGAACAACGATGATGACAAGTCCATACTTGCAGAAAAAATAACCTGTATAGCACCGGTCGAGGTGGGTGTGGTCGCGTTCGTCTGCAAATGCTTACTTATAAACGTATCTCCGCCAGCTTTAAATTTAACGCGCCCTAAGGCTACGTTTGATTATAAATTTTAATTCAAATTTCAATTGTATTATATCTTTTATGAACAAGGCTTATGTTTTATAATTGGGTTATCGATTCATAGGATTATAGATAATTAATATAATTCAAAATCTTTTTCCTTTTGTGCATTTCTGTTAGTATGTGTAGTAATTTATCCAGTTTTGTAGCAGTTATTAATATCTCATTAGTCTAAAAAAGATTTCTTAATTGTTTAGATTAAAGAAGATGATGGATTGCCACCTACTGTGTGCCAGTCCTGTCGACAGTTGGTTAATAGATTTTATGATTTTCGTATTTTGGTGGAGATCTCTGACCAGACTTTACGTTCTTGTCTGCAAGAAGTTGCATACGATTCAAAGATCAAAATGGAAATTTTCAATGAAAATGCTAATATTGAATGTACCAAGTTCTTAACTGATAGCGACTTACTAGATGATGATGTAGATGAGTTTACGGTAAATGCTGTTCTTTTACCAACGGAAAGTGGTATTCAAGTAAGAAAGTCTGATTATTTTATTAAACAAAATTCGTATTTATATTTTAATGTATTCCTTGTATTAACTTACTTTGTTTTAGGTATGGAAAATAAATGATGATGATGATGATGTTCAAGTCACAAAGGACAGAGATCTATTTGGTGCTAATGGTGATAATTTGAAGACAAATTCACAAGAGAAAAGTGATTCCGAGGTCGACGATTTAGGGGTTCATCATTTATTAAGCAAAGAAAGTTTTAATAAGGATGAATTTTCAGGTCAATTTAAAGAAAGTTATAGTTGTGCATACTGCGACAATTTATTTTTAGAGAGCGAAGTTTTGTCAAAGCACATGGATCTTCACAGAGATGTAGAAAGTGAGGTGTGCGATATACGTGAAAATACTATCAGTTGCCAACTGTGTTGTGAAACCTTAGAATCTATGGCGGATCTAAAGCATCATATTTCTGAGCACTTTGACAACGAAAAGGAGATGGATAATAAGACTGATAATATTGAAAATGAGATGGAAGGCTGCATTTTAAGGGAAGAAGTATATGAAAACAATACAATAGAATCAAATATCCTCAATAATGATCTAGTTATACAAGCATTAGACAAAGACAATGAAGGAATCTCTGCACAACAATTTGTTTGCCTTCAGTGCGATGTTGCATATCCAACGAAAAAGGAATGTATTACACATGCTAAAGAACATTTGTCATCCAAACAATTTAAGTGCAAATATTGTCCAAAAATGTTTTTAAAAACGAGTTCTAGGAGATATCATGAAGAAGGTCACACACGCGATACTAAGTATGTGTGTGTCATATGTACAAAGTGCTTTGCAAAGAAGTCGGATTTAAAGTATCACGAGGGTTCGCACTTGGACTCGCCATCAGTTTGTACAGTATGTAATAAGTCATTCCTTAATATTCAATCGTTTAAAATACATATGAAGCGGCACATATTAGGAAGCAGATACAATTGTGAACTCTGCGAAAAGAGTTATTATACAAGTTCAGAATTAGCTAGACATATTCAAAAGCATTCCGGTAAGAGAGCACACCCATGTGACTTATGTGAAATGTCCTTTTTGTCAAAACCAGAACTGAATAGACATTTAAAATACCATAGCGGAGAAAAGAAGTTCAAATGTAACGTGTGTTTTAAATCTTACTTTGAATCTGGCCACTTAAAAGTTCACGAAAGGGTGCATACCGGAGAGAAACCATTCGTTTGTACCGTGTGCAATAAAGCTTTTATTACTAAATCAAAGCTGGTAAGACATGTGAAGATTCATGTTAAAGACCAAATAATAATGTGTGATATTTTACCTGTTCAGAAGTAAACAGGGTCATTGTAATTTAATTAGTGAATTCATTGCTTCAGAATATTTTTGAAACTTTAGAAATTGATGGTTATTATATTTCTGCAAAACATTTGTATGCAAATGTTGTTTGAAAGAATGTTTTATTTTCATTGTACTTATTAGAGTCCAGAAGTTTTACACGCTGGACAAACTATTTCTGTAATAAATTCATACGAAATATTAACTTTGTTTTTACTTTGGTCCTTCCATAGTTAAAGAATTCCGTTAAGAGTCTGAATCTGAGAATAATAAAGTCTAAGGAGTAGAAAATTCGTAATATTTCAATTAAATCAGCGATACTTCAGCAACTAATGCGCTCGAAGGTTCTCGGGTGGCGTTACCTCTCGATTCGATAACTGTTGATGCTCCAAATATTCCGAGTCTTTCGCGTCGAGAGGAAATGAGCGGACATTACGGTATGCAGTGCAAGAGCCCCCTGCATTCGCTGCTTTCTATTATTATTTACAATTCTTCTCAACTTTGCAATGTTGAGAAACATTAATTAAAAACTACGGAAGTGAAAATCACGGGTTTTCTTTTTGATCATTCAATTACATCACGGGTGTACCATATTAACAATAGATTTAAACTGAGTGCTGTAACCAGAAAAACGACCGGTAATTTGAATACCTTAAAGAAACTAATCACCAGAAATTCTTCTCCGCAGGAATGTTACATTTATATCGTCCCCACAAGTGTAAATGATTTGGCTATACACTGAGAAAATGATTAATTGACTGAACAAAAAATGTATTGTTAACATAAATATTGTTGCTTGAAATAAATAGAATTGGGAGGAATAATTATGTTGTTCATAAAAAAATGTAGTAGATTTAAACAAATAATTTGATTCGAATGTATATTTTTGCCAATCGATTTTGTGATTGCCTCAAATAAGAAAAAGTTGATTCAATCGTCAATATTTTTGTTTCGACTTTTCGCTTGATAGTTCTTATGGTTTTGGATTTTCTCGCAAGTGGTGCAGGTAGTAGTTCGTTTATATATAAGGCTCGTTGCCGTTTTTAACTTTCAAGTCACAATACCGTTCTAGTTTATTGTTTCAGATTTCCGTTAGTCCAGGTTTACGTCAAGAAGAGGGACAATGTCTCGGCCCGAAGAGGGGGAAAAAGAAGAGATGGGATTATCGGAAACGACTTTTGGGGAGTATTTCGTTACATTAAAGTAAAAATATGGAAGAAAATAGTATCGGTAACACCGGAACATAATAAATCTAAAAATGTACATAATACAAAAATTGATTTTTTATGCAGTAGCCAATAGTGGCCTAATTGTGCTCAACATTGGTTCAAAATTGGCTTGAGCCTTGCGCTAACATTGTGCTTATTTAATTTCATCCTTTATAAAATATTTGCCCAATTAAAATAGTTTGATCGTTGAATAAAATATTTGTTAACAAGTAGCACTTTTTCTTCTGATTTAATAAAGTAATTTCGTTTACTCAATTTGACATTTTTTGTTTCCACATATTTCATCGCAGTATTTTGTTGTCGCAGTGCATATTTCTTTGAGTGGAGAAACTTTTTTTTCTCAGTATACTTGCAGACGATGTTGTGGTTTTTTAACCGAGTTTACCTAGGCAGTATGTCCCCGCTCAAGGATCCTATGCGATTCGAGAAATGACATGTATTAGATATAGTTCGAGGATAAAATTTCTGGAGTGATATAAAAAAGAAGCGAGAGACTCTCTCGAGGAAACTTTCGTCTCGTGGTCAGGACCGCGTTCGCGGGTTCGCACCTAAAGACGGCCTCGGCGCGTTCCTCTCAGTTTCTCTCCTCCTAGTGCGGAAGGTTGGTGAAGTGTGTCGCGAGTTCTCCGGAGTTCGTTGGAGTCTGTCGAGGGGAGGCAGCTAGATCGCTGTCGCTCGTTAATGCCGAAGTGTCGGGTGGGAAAGGCAGGAGAAAGTTTCGCGTGGAAGGGTAGCGAAGTACACAAAGCACGTTGAGAAGAGACTTCAGGAAAGGCCAAGGAGCAGTGGCGGCTCTACAAGGGCGATGAATTCAGACGTACCCAGTTACGCATTCCAGCAAAGAATAGAGCAGGACAAACGTACCCCTTGTGGGATAAAGCGAGGATACTACAGTTTCCGTGGCACCAAGGTTTGACACTTGATTATGATTGTGTTTGATGTGAACAAACATCATCTTAAAGGAAAAGTTGATATCTCAATTAGTTTGGGAGATATTAATTATTGTCTTTGATTTTACATATTTCAATTTTTATAAATATCTCGAATACTATGCGAGATACAATAAAATTGCATGTGACATTTTCGATAGAAAATGTGATTTCCTACAAGAAAAATGATATGCATTTTGATCGGATCTTGCATAGTTTTTTTTAGATATAATGGATTTAGTTGAAAATGTCTGTTGACACAAAGCTCATGCCAATTATTTTGAGGAAATATGTAAGATATGGGTGAACAACATACATTTTTTGTAGGGAATTATCGTATCTTGCATAGTTTTTTTTTACGTGTAATGGATTTAGTTAAAAATGTCTATTGGCACAAAGCTCATGTCAATTTTGTCGAAGAAATATGTAAGATACGAGTGAACAACATAGAACATTTTTTGTAGGGAATTTAATTTTCTATAAAACTGCTTGTATGTATTATTTTTTTATTTGTCGTAGGTTTTGAGATATTGCGAGTTGAATTTCGAAGAAACGTGTGCCTTGCAAATTTTACAATCTTGATGCCTTTTTTGGAGGATACTACGGTACCCGTCGCGCCAAAGTTTGACAATTATTTCTTATACATTTTTGCATGGAAAATATTAATTTAAATATAGAAAGATTATATCTTATTTTTTATAAATAATTAATAGTTAGACCGATAGTAGTCCTATAAGGTAGGTCCTGCAAAGTTTGGGATCCAGGGGCGGAGCCCCAATGGGGGTTGGGCCCCCCAGAAAAATATGATCTCGTTTTCGTCATTAAAAAATCCCAAATTAAAAATATCTAAATACACCAAATTTTGCAGTTTTCGTCGGAACTGTTTGTTAAAGTTCGATCCGGCCGATTCGTTCGTTTCCGCACCCCCTAGATTTCAGGAATTATTGTCTGACGAATATAGTTATTTGGTGTGGTTTAAGTTAGTCGGGGGGGAGGAGGGGGCTGGGGGGCTTCGCCCCCCAGCCATGCATTCCAGTTGACTGCGGACAGGGATTGTGAATTAGTTTCTTATATGCTTTCTTCTCTTTGTTCTCTTTCTGGCGTGTACTTACTACCGGGTATAAGAAAACGTATCAATGACATTTGGGAAATAAAGCAACCGTACCCCACAAATTTGAATTAAATTTGAATTTGATTTGAACAGGACGAACGGCGGGACCGAAACGTCATAGACCTCAATTCAAAGATGGCATCGAGATTGTACAATTTGTAAAACACACGTTCCTTCGAAATTCCACTCAATGTCTCAAAAACTATAAAAAATACAAAATAAATACATAGAAGCCGTTTTGTCGAAAATTGAATTTCCTATAAAAAAAGGTTTGATGTTGTTTACTCGTATCTTACATATGTCTTCGAAAAATTGACATGAACTTTGGGTCAATAGACATTTTCAACAAAATTCATTATATATAAAAAACTATGCAAGATCCGATAGAAATGCATATTATCTTTCTTCTAGGGAATCACATTTTCTATCGAAAAGGTTATATGTAATTTTATTGTATCTCGTACAGTATTCTAGATATTTAAAAAAATTGAAATATCTAAAATCAAAGAAAATAATTAATATCTCCCAAACTAATTGAGATATAAATTTTTCCTTTGACATGATATTTGTTCATATCGTACACAACCATAATCAAGTGTCAAACCATGGCGCCACGGAAGCCGTCTTGCCGATAAAGCTGGAGCCAATAGCGACCCGTATTCAGCGTTCTACAAACGTTAAAAGTACTATCTGTTAGAGGAACAGACGGAACCGTACACATGTCATATCCTATTATCTCAATCTTCATTAAAAATATATTTTTGTATAGAATAAAATATTAGTAATCCAATTTACAGAAATCTCCGTTCCGTGTCAGATTTTTTATAATTTTACTTCTTTCAAATAATGAGTCGATACCAAAGATTCAATTTGATCACCGAAGATACTTTATCTTTGCCCTAGAGTGAATAAGCGTCGATCTAATATAGTATCAGTACGGCTCGAATGTATTCTAAAAGTACGTCCACATTGGGTCTCTCCAGTGGATCTCTTCAGTGAAATGTTGCACTTTAAAATTATCATCTGCTAGCGTGTTCGCTAGTCTTTGTCATGTTAAAGACATTACGTTCCAAATAATACGCAGAATCATCGTTGCATTTTGCGTACCTTAATAGCAAAATTAAAAGTGTTTTGGATTATTTATATCGATACGTAATTTTGTTGGTCACGTAGAATCAGAATTGTTACATTTTCCGCAAGTAACTCACTTATTGTCAGAACAGTAAAAATCCGAGATTCCTGGATCCCGATCTCGGCCACTTTCTGTAAAACCGACCATAGATGTTATGTATCCTTATCTTACTTCGTAGACGAAACTTTGTACTCATTAACTATACTGGCTAATTTCAGCTTATATGTTTACTTATATTTACTTTGCTATGATTTTTAACGAGTGTCTCTTGCACATTAGTATATTCTCTCGTATGAGTAGGTGCGGAGTCGAGTCTGTCATTTCTACGATAAACAAGGATAACACATTTCAAAGAACGGTATGCAGAATCCCTTTATAATTGCACTAAATATTGGGTTGTTCGGAAAGTAATTTCGTTTTTTTTTATGAAAATGAAAGACGATTTTCTTATAGCGAATAAATATTTTATTGAATTATATATTGTCCATTCTGGTCCAATACCTTTTGCCATCTTTCTGGCAGTAGCATGATTCCACGCTTATAAAATGTTTGGTTTTTGCTGTCAAAAACTGATCCAGGTGATTTTTGACCTCCTTATTTGAAGTAAAGGTTTTACCGTCTAGAAAATTTTGTAGAGACCGGAACAAGTAAAAATCAGAAGATGCCAGATCTGGAGAATATGGTGGGTGTGGCAGTATATCCCATCCAAGCTGTAGAAGCTTTTGGCGAGTTAAGAAACTTGTACACCTTTTCTATTGATCAATGCTGGTCTCTTCTGTTTAAGTGAATCATTCAATTTG